TTCAGGAGGTCAGTGATGTTGAAGGGCTGATGGTAGAAAATGGAGCACCCTTCTTGAATGGTGCCATCTGCATTGAACTGTGGGGGCCCAAGGGTCTCATGCAGGGACAGCTGCAGGGCTTGTGGCTGCTGAGTGGACCTCGGTTGTCTCCCCATGGGTTCTGGCCTAGGGTCTTCTGGCAGAGGGGGACTGTGGCCAGTAAGACAGACGGTGGTGGAGTATCAAGACAGTGAGTCCAGTTGACTGGGAGCTGGTGGCAGAGTAGTGGATACGTAGGGTGGCAGAGGCAGTGGCTCCTCTTTGGAGTCCCTTGATGGATGGCCTTGGAGGGCTTTGGAGTCGCCATGTTTCTGGCTAACAAAACCCTACACTGGCCCTTGGAGCTGATGCAGAACTGCACTCATGGGGCAGAGTCCAGGCAATCTGGAGCCAGGAATCTATGTGAGGAAACTGATCTGGGTGGCCTGGAGTTTTGGTGACAATGTGGTGAACTGCCTTGATGGTGGGGACGTGCAGGGTTCCTTTCAGAGGTCAGTCACCACCAAAAGCAGGCCATTCAAGCTCACAGAGAGTGTGGAGTCAGCCATTGGCAGCTTAATCCTATCATCCTCAGAGTAGCCTTTTAAAAGTTTAATCATACAGTCCAGGACTGTAGGTTTTTACTGTGTTCTTCCCATGTCCCACCCTGTGCTGACACCACAAGACAGACCAGAGTGGGGGGTGTCAGGCAAGGCACCCACGTGGCTGTGTCCCCAAAAAGAGCTTAGATGCTTCTTGGCTGAAGGTGTAGTCAGATAAACCCTGGCCCTGTTCAGAGGCCTTATTGTAGGACATGAATGGCCATTATGCCATATGAAGTTACCATAGAACTGCAGGTTAGGACTCACTCAGACTTCTTAGCATAAGAAATAATTTCACATTAATTCACACAAACAGTTGAGAGTTTAAAACATCCCCTCCTTTTGAGGTTCCCTACACTGATAAGCTCCCTTATGGGCGGCCATGGGAGGCGATCAATCTCCCCTTCCATCCTTGTGGACAGTCCTGGCTATGGTCTTGGGTCCTGGCCTTACCTTATCTGGAAGACTGTGCAGGTGTTTATCCAACTCTCCAGGGACTCCAGACACTGGTGGCCCTTCTGGAGGCACAGGCCCTCTAGGCTCAGGAGATCCTGGAATTGTCAGGTGGCACTGTCCTGTCTGATCCAAGGGGCACCATGTAGTGGTGCCATACAAATTACCATACAAATATCCACACAAATTATTATAGAAATATCAGTGTGGACAGCTTGCCACACTGGTGGTCAAAGATGGTACAGTTTTCACTTCCCTATCAGGAGACCAAAATGTTGTGTTCAAGAAGCAGTAACTGGCACCCAGAGAGTGGGAGAATTCAAATTTTATTTTACATCAGCAGGCCCAGAGGAGATCAAACTTCAAATTCTGAGCCCCATCCACAGTTCTCACAGCATTTACAGACTATCTTGTGCCATAAATTTTCTAGTCTACATGATAGCAGGCCATGCTGGGGGTTTGTATCTGAAAGCATGTTTACAGAAGCAGACTGTGAGAAGGGGGAAACCTGGCTCTTCTCACAGACCTCTGATAAATCTCTAGCCTGTGTCTGAAGCCAGGAATAGTAGTGTTTACACTTCAAAGGGGAGTAGTCAGGCTCCTAGAGATAGTTATTTACAATCCAAAGGTAGGGTCCTCTGGTTAATTAGTTTCCTCAGGAAAGGCTAACAGAAGGGAAGAGGAACTAACTCTTTCCCCAGGCACCAGTTTTTTTATGATAACATTCTTTTAATTCCATTTTACAACCAGGCCTGGTTTTGCCATCACACATTAACAGACCAAAGAACACGTTAAACCATTACATTAAATCAAAATTCACTTTCAGATACATGGAAAATAGATGGAAGCCAGAGTAGAAGATGAGGAAGGAGAGGGAAAACAGAATAAATTACAATCAGGGCACTTGAATCCCATATTTGTTTTTGCCTTTCAGGGGACTTGAACCCCCTATTTAACATGACAAGGGACTTGACCCCTTTACAAGTAAACTCACCAACTACTTCTAAGGATCAGTCCTGTTTTCCTGTTGCTGGCATTCACAGTAATCAGCCCTAGTGAGAACCTCTCATATACCCAACTCATATGGATATACCTACTTGAACAGGAGCTGAAAGAGAAAGGAAGGAATGGAAAGAACTTCAAGGAGAAGGACCAGTTGACTGACTCACATGCAATTAGAGTTCAAAATTTACCACATCCCCAGGAAGGCATCAATCACCACCCCTCTGCCACTTGTATCTGTACAACTTGGGGCATTTCCCAGCCACCTCAGAAGAGGAGCCATGGCAAGTTGGAGATGATACTGGTGAGGTGTCCAGTTGGGGTTCAGGTTCTTAGCATTCCAAAGAATTGAGCAAGACACGCAGAAGTATCAGCAGAACATAGATTTATTGAAAGTGAAATAACACTTCTTAGAGTGGGCCAAGGCCCTGATGTTTGGATGAATCTTGTCTTATATGCTGAGCTGTGTCTTGTTCTCCTCCCCATGGACTTGATTGAAGACCTTGCCCTATTTGTTCACATTGGTTACTTAACTTTCACCTAATTAGAATACATAACTTGTGGCAGGAGTTGCCATGGTAATGAGACTTATAAACAGACATGACTCATCTCCATCTTGCACTCCAGCCAGCGTTCTTCTTATACCCTGCCAACATCATCCAGAAGTCCCTAAACTTCTATGTCAGGTTGAGAGAGACATGGTAGGAAAAGTAGAACAGGGAGCTTTGCCTGCAGGGAGGAAAGGAAAATAAAAACACTAGTGGGGCGGGGGGTGAGTGCTGGGGTTGTAGCTCAGTGGTAGAGCACTTGCCTAGCACATGTGAGCCACTGGGTTCGATCCTCAGCACCACATAAAAATAAAGAAACAAAATAAAGACATTCTACCCATCTACAACTACCAGAAAATTAAAATAAAAAAAACCACTAGTGGGCTTTAACATGGGAGGCTCCCACACACAGTGGCTACAGAGAAAAGATCTGGGCAGCCACATATTCACTGGGGGAACATCACATCTGGTGACCCAATCCAATAGGTTTCAGCCTGAGAATGTTGACTCAGTGCCCATAGAAAAGAGATCCAAGTTGAGTGAGTAGGAATATAAGGTAAAGCTTTCAATGGAAAAAGGAAAATGGGTGTTTTATCTTCAGGTAAAGGGGCCAACACAACTGAGAGCAGACAAAATTTCCCTCTAAAATAGTTTAATGTCCTGTCCTTTTATTAAGCATCTGGGGTGGGAAGGGTCTGGTATTTATATGATGATTCCTTCAGGACCATACCTGATGTTTTTGGTTGGTTTGATTAAGAACAGTACAGTAAGAAGTACTGTTCATACATTGTAAGACTGGGGGAATAGAAAAGACTTCTATCAGTTAAAATTTATAAATGAAAGCCTAAGAGTTCATCCCACATTTTGTCCCATCTGGTCCAAGAGCAAATGAAGCTAAAGGGTTTCTTTTGGTTTTCCTTCTTGTAACAACCTCACCCTCATGGCAGTGTAGATGCTAACAGGGCTCCATGTGTTACCCTGTGCTGGGAAAAGCATCTTTTCATCTGGTCAAAGCAGCAAGTGAGTGCTCTCTATGCAAACAGTGGTTGAATGTTTGAGTTTTCTATATAGTCAGCTATATCCTATTTTTCTTCTTTCCACTGTTCTGTTCTTTAGGAAGCTGACATAAAATCTACATCGCCTGGCCTTCCTTGCTCTCTTACACTAATCTGGATGAGAGGAAGCAGGCTGACATTAAGGAGCAGAATGAGAGAGTGCAGGACACAGGGAGAAATATTGTGTCATTCAGCCTTGAGTCCCTGAACTTCATATGCACCAAGAATTTCTCTGTTAAGGTGACATAGCCTATATCATTCCTCCTGAGAAAACTCCTCTTAGAAATAAGTCCAAGCAAATCTCTCTCTCTCTCTCCCTCCCTCCCTCCCTCCTTCCCTCTCCTCTCCTCTCCTCTCTAGTTTGATGATGGTTGTTCCTCTTTTAAATTTCTTATTTGTGATTTTGAGTTCAGGAGACACAAGTGCAGCCCTCTAAGGAGATGCTTAGAAGCCCCACCCCTCCAGAAACTTAGGAGTGTCCAGGATTTTCCTTCAGGAAATTCAGCCCACCATCCCTGCTCTGTGATGAGGTATTTTTTAGTTTCCAACTCATCTAGACTCCCAGTGTGAGTGCACACCATTCTGTGGAGAAGTGCTCAGAGATCCTACCCTTGTCTTGATCACCTTCTTCATGCATCTTCCATGGAAGGACAGGAAGTGAGGTGCCCAAGAGTTGCTAACTGCTCTGAGGTTCAGCTGAGAGCAGAATTTCCACCAGAAGCTCCCACTGCCTGCTGTGCTAGTGTGGATCCATTTACATACCCAAATGCTGCTCCATGGGTTTTATTACCATCTAGCACTCACCTCTGAGCTACTTGCTTTTTTCCCTCAGTGGGATCATGCTATGATTACCACCCCCCTTGCCACCTGATGCTGTCACCATGCTAAATCCTCTCTGCACTTGGATGGCCGTGGAGTGTAGGGGGCTATTTCCTCTTTGCCTCTCTGGTTTTGCTTCCCTCCTGTCCTTCAGCATCAGTGCTTCCTCCTCCCTCTCCCCAAAGCTGTGTTTTGCTGGCAGAGGGCAGTAGTGCCCTCCCCTACCCCCTGCTTCCTCTGTCCCCCATCCTCACCTGCACACCTCTCAGGACACACTGGGGGATATTTCTGGCACTGCCAAAATCAGAGTGTGGATGGCAAAGGGTACAGAAACAGAAAAGAGGGTGGAAAGGACATTGAGAGGTTCAATCATTCTGCATAATAAAATCTGGAAGAGAACAGGATAAGCAGGGAGAGAGAGGAATAGCCCCTGCAACATAGGGAGAGGAGAAGGAGAGAAAGCAGGTGTTCACTTTATTCAAATAAATTTTCTTCTATTTGGCTGTGATCTCAACAAATTTATTTCACATGGTACAGTGGGGAAGAAGCACCTGGGGATTCCAGTTCTTTGGGAACAATGAGAAGAACAATAATCTTTACAAGACTCTCGAGGTATAACATTTCCAACAGTCAATGCTTTGATTTTTCATATTAAATAGAACCAAAAAAAGACACAATGCTTTAGTTTGTAAATTATGCCCTCATGAGAATCATAATGAAAAAGTATTTGAAACCTCCTACCCAGCTCATGGCCTGCTCACTGAGACAAGCAGATTTTAGAGTGAAACATAATGTATGGCCTTCTAAAATGGCTTGGGGGAAGAGCATTTGGTTCCGAGTCACCAAACACCACAGAGCTATGCCTTCACATTTATTCTACAGATTAATAGTGGAAAAGATGTGATGTGGAGAGTGACCTCACCATCCCCTTGAGTTTGAAAATTTCTGTGTGGAATGTTAGAATGGATAATAGGATCTCTTCCAGTGCAACTCAAGAAGGCTACATCAGAAAACACATTGAACCGAAAGAAGTGAAAATACAGCTTCTATGTCAATAGCTGAAACAAGGAAGACTTTTTATTCTACACCCCTTTTTCTGGGTTTTCCAAGATTCTGGGCAGGCATAAGCATGTAAGCCACATGGTGTTTGGGAAAAGGCCAACCCCACCCAGGTTTTGCTCGTTGCAACATCAACAGCCACTTTGACAGATCCACATCACTTTCATGCCTCCCTAGTTGTCTACCGAGCAAAAAACTCAGCACATTTTTGGAGCTTAGTTTGGGTTTTAAGTATTCATCTGCCTTCCTTTTGGTACTCCGTGCCGGTGCACTGGGATTGACTTCACGTCTTCCTTTATCCATGACTGGTTGACTCCACACACAGTCTCAAGAAGACAACACGACTGAGAAATCCTAAAAAAGACAATGAAATCCAGATAAGCAAGTGGACCCATGGACCTCTTCCTCATAGTCACCTCCCTGCTCAGCCACTTGTTACCAGCAGTATAATAATCCCTCCTTATCCACAGGTTCATTTTTCCAGGGTTTTAGTTACCTGTGCTCAACCTATGGTACAAAAATATTAAATGGGCAATTCTGTAAATAAACAATGTGTGAGTTTTAAATTGTGTACCATTCTGAAGTGGTGTGATGAAAATCTTATGCCATCCCACTTTATCCTGCCCAGGAGTGACATGAATCATCCTTTGTCCAGCAGATCCACACTGGATATATGCTACTTGCTTATTAGTCACTATTTGTGTTCAAGTAACCCTTATTTTATTTAATAATGGCTCCAAAGCACAGGAACAATGATGCAAAGGAGGTACCAGGGCATAAAACATGGAAGAACAGATAAACTTATGGTACAATGTTGCAGAACATATAGGAAAAAGCATAGTTCTTACATAGTTTGGTACTATCTGTGGTTTCAGGCATCCACAGGGTTCTTGGAACATAATTCCCCTCAGTTAAGGGGAGACTACTGTATTTATAATAGGGTACCATGGGGCATCATTTGATTTGCAATATCAATGTTATCATTTCATTTTGTTATTCACATGAGTCTGTGCCTAAAATCTATTTTGTTCTACTGATGTATGTACAATTCTTGTTTTAATTTCTAAATCTACCATCTAGGTTTTCATATCTTGTTGGTCAAGTCCCTTACCAAGATCATCCCCATATATGTTCTCTTCCTTTTAGTTGAATAATCAATTTATTGTATTTCATGACAAAATTCTGTTGAAGTTCATGCATGACATTGTACTGAATTCAGACATTAATTTGGAGTAAGAATTAATATAATAATTAATTTTCCTAACTAGAAAAAATGGTATTTTAGTGTGAAATGGGAAACAAAAAGTATTTAATGTATATTTCCTGCTATTTTAAGACAGCACATTCATATATGTTCAGTAGTCAGTTTAAACTGGACATATTATTTCTATTATGTCATAATTTATTCTTAGAGGAGTATGCAACATCTTTTTATGTGTTTAACTTATGTATACCTTTCTTTGGCAAATATCTAGGGAATTGATTTGGTTGATGAAAGAGAAGAGTGGTATTTTTTATAAAATCCTTTTGTTCATAGATTACATTATATCAATAGCATCAAAAAATGCAAACATTGAAAAAAATGAAGGATTTCTCTATGTACGTACATAGGCTCTCCACAAAAGGTAATTAAAGAAAGAAGCAATGAGGGGACAATAGAATGAGAGGAAACATTTGCAAACTATTCATCTGACAAAGAATTAACATCCAGAATATATAAGGAACTAAAAAAAAACCTCAATAAAAAAAACAACTAAAAAATGTACATATCTGTCAGATTAGGCATCTCTTAAAAGAAGAAATACAAATGGTCAATAAATACATGAAAAAATTATTGATATCATTAATCATCAGTGAAATGCACATTGAATTTTAAACAAGATACCATTTCATCCCAGGTAGAAGAAGGGCAAAAAGACAAAGTAAGTGAATACATGAATGAATGAATAAATGCTAGCCTGTGGAGAAAAGAGAGCAGCCCAAAGGCTGCTCATAACCCTGTTGGTGAAAATATAAATTAGTATAGCCATTGTGGATAACAATATAAAGATTCCTCAAAAAATGAAAAATTAGCACTGCCATATGATCTAGCTATCCCACTTCTGGGTGTATATCCAAAAGACAGGAAATCAACATATCGAAGAGATACCCACACTCCTATTTTCACTGCAGCATTATTTACAATAGCCAAGATACAGAATCAATCTAAACATCCATCATTGCATGAATGAATAAAGAAATATGATTCAATTATACAATGAAATACTGATTAGGTTACAATTCTTATAATCTAATAATTTCACCCCTTAACATTTCCTGCATTATCTCACATAAGCTTTTGGGGGACATCTCATATCCAAACTATATCAGGCACAGAGAGACAACACCATCACAGGTTGACCCACATATATTTGCTTACCTGTTTCTTCCAAAGGAATTATCACTAGAACTATAACACAAAGAAGGAAGCTAGTCAGAGGGAAGGTACTCAAAATCAAAACCAAACCAAACCAAACCAACCAACCAACCAAACAACAACAAAGCAAACAAATAATAAAACTACCCAGTGAAACTGACAATGGTGTTCAATGCAAGAGAGCAGACTTAGAGAAGAATCTTGACTCTATGACTTTAAGAAATTCTTATTCAGGAGGAAAAAGAAGAGGTGATGAGTCTCATTCTCCAAGTTCTTAGGCTCCCTTGGCCTCTCCCATTTTACCAGTAAAATAGTAATGAGCAGAATAACACCGGCTATACCAGCCAGCTGTTAAGAGAAGTCTTGTCTGTCTTACAGTCACTTTTGCAAGCGTTTTACATACAGTAGGTCATACAGCTGGGGTGTAGCAATGTTAGTACCGTAGGTGTACATCCAGTAGCTTATTTAACCTCATAACAGCTTGGGGTGTGTGCTGCTATCATTCCTATTTATCCAGGGCAGGAAACTGAGGCACAGGAATGTTATGAAACTGGCCAAGGTCACACAACTAGTATGTGACAGAACCCAGATGTGAACCCAGTTACTCTGGCTTTAGAAACCCTGGATTTTCACTCTTACAGGATGCCTCCTTTTGATCCTCATGGAAGACAAACAAATGATTCTTGTCCTCCGTTTTTTTTTTTTTTTTTTGGTCACAGAAAATGATATCAGTGTCTTTACATGGTTTTATTTAGAGTTGGAGAAAACCCAGATGACTGGGTCTTTCCTGCCACTCAAGAAAGGGAATGTGTGACCTGGGTCCCACTTACAAGCATCTGTGTTTCAATTTCCTGTTGTTATGTGAGACCAAGTTGGATGGCCATGTGGGGATAAGCCATATCTCTCATAGTAACTATATTAGTTCCTCAATAGGACATTACAAATAAAAAAAATAAACCCTGTCCTCACCACTAACCATTTGACAGCCTACAAAGAGCCCTGTCCTACATCTCAGTAATACCCACATGGGTCACACTTTAAGAGTAACAATATAATTTTTCTGGATCAGAGACTTAGAAGGTACTTATGGTTTGAGGAAATATGGACTATTCACAGCCAACAGTTCTGCAATTAAATACCCATCGATGTGAATTGTGTATTATAAAATTAGTGACTGCAGAGTCATGATCAAGGCTGATCTAGACATTAAGAAAGAGTAGAGAATCCTACCTGGGAATGAGTTCCCTTGCAGCACTCACTGGTGATTGGATTTTGAGACCCAAATTGTGATTACTGCCCAATGTGCTTGTGGAAATGTGATGAACACTGTTAGGATGTTTTGGTAAGTCTTACCACAGGAGAAGATTCAGCAAAGAGAATTCATATAAGGTAGGGAAGAGCTTTGAGGTCAAGATAGCTGAAGTGTCAAGAGAAGAGATATGGAGGTAGTACCTAAACATAAGTTTTATCTGTCCTCTCTTTCAGAACCTCCTACTCACTGTATTTAGCCCTGAATTAAAAGCCACCCAGGCAGTGGTGGCCAGGGCTCAGATCTTGCCATTGTGTGCAGTATCAACATTCCGAGATCCATTATGAATCACCATTACTCCTCCCAACCAATCAGGTACTGGGACATAGGGAAAAAACTTAAGAGGAAGGATTTTTCCTCTCTTTCCCTACCTTCTCTTCCAGACCAATGCTACTCTTTTAGGAACTGTGGCTGCTCAGTGGTCTGAGAGACAAATCATCCAGATAGATCAAGAAAATGTACTCATCATCAACAAACTAATCAAATTAATGAATAACAACTCCACTGTATAATGACAAGGTAGGATTGTCATTTGCCCAAATTTGTAAAAAATCCTTGCATACAAAATGATTAGGAACACAGGCTCAAGAAACAAGTGGTTTCATTTCTAATCTCAGCTCTTGATGACTTGGGGCAAGTTCCTAAACTTCTCTGATCTTCATTTGAAAAGTATAAACAATAGCACCTTCACCCTTGGGTGTTTGTGAGTATTCAAGGAGATAATACCACCAAAGTACTCAGAAACAGTAGATGGCATGTGGTGAATTTGCAGATGACCTTAGTATTTATCACCGTGGCCATCTCAGCCCACCTCTCTGAATAAAGCAGTTTTCATTGGATTTTTTCATTTCCTTGAAAGTTGGCCTCCCTGGTGGTATTGTTTCCTCTCTTTTCCTCACTTCTAAAGAAGAGATCTTGGGGTAAGACAAAGTTCACAGTACTCACGGTATCAGAAAAGGAAGGCTCCTGGATGTCAAGCTGTTCTGTACCGCAGCTGATAGGAAGGTCCTTGGCTGTGCAATCACTTGTATTCTCTAAAGAGAGGATATTCTGTGTTTTTTTTTTTCCCTGAGAGTTTAGCCAACACATGCTGTTGGGACCCTCAGGTGGGGTAATTCAGGATAAGCCAAACTCCCAGAGAGCTAAAATAACTACCCTTAGAGGCCATGCATAAGATCAATTCCACTTCTTACCGGGACACGGAATTCCAAGGTCTGCCTGTGAGCCCAGTAGGTCCCAGTCTGCGCAGTTGGGCCTGAAGCACTGCTACTAATGATATTGATGGTGCTTGCGTGAGTCATGACCCCATGTCACATGAAAGATCATGAGATTCTATAGCCTAGGGCACACTGACCTTCAGCCTCTGAATATAGTTGCTGGTGGCAGGGAGGAGAGTGTGTCCTCAGGCAAGAAAATGCATTTTTATTAATGTAGTAAGAGGCACAAATGAAAAGGTGAGCTTCATGTCCACTTGGTACAAAAGTTAATATAATAGAAGCAACATCCTGTATTTTAAGTGGAGCAACTTTAGTAGTGAATACTAAATTTATAGAAATCTAGACACAATAAGATTTCTTCCCTCTTACCTTGCAAATCAACTTGTTATTAATTCAAATGCTTCCCAATTTGCCTCACCTGGATCAAGAACACAATTACTAATGCAAAGTAAATGTATATTCAAATAAACTTTCCATATCCCTGTTGTGCTGACTTTTCATCTTTTTTCATCTCTTGTTTTTCTTGTCTGTAAAGAGGGGTCCTAGTCACTCCTATCCCACAGTTTGTTAAGAAAATGTCCCTCATTCTAGTGTTGTTGAATTTATTTGTTTAGTACTGGGATTGAGCCCAGGGGCACTTTACCTTTGAGCTACATCCCCAGCTTTTTTTTTTTTAACTTTAAAGCAGGGTTTCAGTAGCTGGGCATGGTGGTGCATGCCTGTAATCCTAGCAGATCAGGAGGCTGAAGTAAGAAGACTGCAAGTTCAAAGCCAGCTTCATCAATTTAGCAAGACCCTAAGCAACTTAGTGAGACTCTGTCTTAAAAATAAAAAATAAAGTGGCTGGGAAAGTTGCTCAGTGGTTTAGCACCTCTGGGTTCAATCCCAGGCACACATGTGTACACACACACACACACACACACACACACAGAGAGAGAGAGAGATAGGTTTTCACAGTTTTCCAAGGCTGGCCTTGAACTTGCAATCCTCCTGTCCCAGCCTCCAGAGTCACTGGGACCAGGCTTGTGCCACCATGCCTAGCTCATATTCCAGTTTTGATCTTTGACTACAGACAGATTTTAATCCCTACTTTGCAAATCACATTCTACTCTCCAGAAAACCTCAGTATGTGTCATAAATATGTTCATAATCTCTTGGAGCATATATGGTATCATTAGGCTCAAGATCTAAATCAAATTTGAGCATAGCTGTAGGGTTGATAGGTATTAGTACAGTCAGCAGGTTGTTTAGACAACTGCTGCCACTGGGTATCTTTCATCTCTTGCTTTGTTTCCCTCACTGGCAGAAGAGATGTGTTCTGAGTTGCTTTCTATAGGCCATTTGCTTTTTGAGATGTGCTGCTTTGATCTGCATTTAATTAATCTTATAAGCTTCCATTTAAATTGCCTAATTTGGAAATTTCAAAGATTAGCTTTGGGGAGTAGAACTATGGGACTGGGGCCCTCTTTCTTAAAATGACTCTGGATTATGGGTCTCATTCCAGAGAGATCTGTGCATCTCAGATTTCATTGGGTGTGTTCATTCCAACATAAACCATGACTGGCACTATGCATTATGCTTAGGGAAATGACTCTTATCATGTGGCCACTGGTTGTGCATCTCAGACATTGGTTCACTCTTCCCCACCTGCCTGTGCAAGGGATTGAACCACTGAGCTACATCCCCAACACTTTTATTATCTATCTATCTATCTATCTATCTATCTATCTATCTATCTATCTATCTATCTATTTATTTTTGTGGTGCTGGGGCTTGAACCCAGGGCCTTGCACATGCTGGACAAATACTCTACAACTGAGGTACATCCCCTATCCTTTTTATTTTTTATTATGAGACAGGGTCTCTCCAAGTTGCTGAGGGTGACCTCGAACTTGTGATCTTTCTGCCTCAGTCTCCTGAGTTTCTGAGATTACATGCATGCACCATCACTCTCAGCCCACTGGCCTACATTCTATCAAGCTCAATGGAAAGAAGTATGCCCTTTGCAATATGTATGCCCCTCGGTTATTCATTTCTAGAAAGAGCAATTACCATATGTGATGCTGATTTAATGTTGCTAAAGGCAAATGTCTCTCTAGGATCCTGCAAAATGTTTTTGGTATTGCTTTTAACCATGACTCTGTTACAACAGACCTTCTGACCCTCAAGGTAATGAGGTTCATGGCATCTCTATGGAAGAACCAAGAGGTTAATTAATGCAAACACGAATTAAGCTTGGGACCCTTAACCACAGTAAAGCATTCACTGCTGTCGGGGAAGCCTCTAATTGTTCACAATGACTTGAGATTATCTGAAAGAAGAAATCAGTAAATACCAGCAGGGTTTAGAGCATACCCTGCAGTGTATCTACTATTCCTTTTAAAAATCTGGATATAAGAAAAAAATTTTTAAAAAGAAACTAAAAGGGAGATCCACAATTTGACATAATTGGAAAACCAACATGTACCAAAATAGCCAAAAAGTAAAAGAGTGTTGATTGTTTTTTATGCTTCTGGGTTCTGATTTAGTTTTAACATCTACTAAAATGCACCAATTGGTAAACCTTCATGATCTTAATCAGTACTAGGGCACAAAGTACAGCTATATCTGGGAATCCCACTGAATTTAAACAAAATACTTCCTTTTTCTCTTAGGGCAGCTATAAAAAAATAGAGGCTATAGAAGTATATGCTTCACCTTAAACAAAAGAAATATTTCCTTGCCTAAATTCCCATAATCATAATACCCATTTTCCTAAAATATCGTACAGCAGGCATGGGTACTCTGACCCAATGAATAAAAAAAATTAAGCCTTTGGCAATAATAACATTATTAAAAAAAAAAACAGGGAATACCACGTACTCTGCAAGTTGGATAGTTAATATAGCCCAATGTAAGAAAAAACTCATTATGTATTATTATATACTATAACTCATTATATGCTATTTAGAGAAGTGATTATCCACACTGCTTCTCCATTTAATAACCCTATTAGACCTGTTCTTAAACTTGGAAAAAAGAACGAATGGCGCCTCCCTGTGGATGTCCTAAACCTTGATGTTAAAGTTCACCCATTAAGGTCCTTATATTAGTTTTTATTGCTGCTATAAAAAAGCAACAATAACTTAGTAGCATGAATTTATGAAAATGTATTATTTTAAAATTACAAAAGTCACAGGCTTATTATGAATGTCAGAGGTCAGGGAGTGGGACTGGGAATGAGAAAGACAGTGTATTGAATCGGACATAACTTTCCTATATTCACATATGAATACACAACCACATCATTTACCATCACAAGAATGGGAAGTTATATTCCATGTATGTATGTTATGTCAAAATACATTCTACTGTCATGTATACTAAAAAGAGCAAATAAACAACTTTTAAAAATCAATCAATAAATAATAGATCAGAGATCACATCTCATTCCCTGAATCTGACAAAGCTATTGATTGACTGTCTCTACCCATATTAAAACAATTCCAACATCTTTAGTTATTTGGCGGTTCTGGAGACAACATGTTCCTTATTTAAGAATTTTATGGGCCGAGGTTGCAGCTTAGCGGTAGGATGTTGCCTAACATGTGTGAGGCACTGGGTTCCATCCTCAGTACCACATAAAAATAAATAAATAAAATAAAGGTATTGTGTCCATCTACAACCAAAAAAATATTTTAAGAAAGAAAATTTTATGTAAGCCTACTTGTATTAATACTTCAAATCAGCCCACCTCAAATAGGACTCCTTTTATGGTTTACATTCCTAATATGCCCCAAAGACTCGTGTGTTAAAGGCTTGGTCTGCAACGTAGCAATGTTCAGAGTTGTGGCTCTTGGGAAGTGATTGGATCATGAGAACTCTGTCATCTCTGGATTAATCTATTGATGATTTAATAATTGGATGGAATTTTGGGGAGGTTGTGGAAAATAGAGAATGTGGGGCCTACTTGGGGGAAGTAAGTTATTGGGCCTGTATCCTTGGGAACTATATCTTGTCTTTGGCCCCCTTCCTCTCCCTCTCCT